TGTTTCCTGCCCCCTGTAAGCACCTTCTGTCCCCTTCTCACCAGTGACCCACACCAGCTCTTCTGGATCTTCTCACGCTCCATGTCAGTCTCCTCATGACATCCAGCAGCAAAAGCCATCCCTGGCACCACCAAAAGCAGAGGTGAAGGGGTGCAACACTGTTCCCATGGCCATTAGCCCAGGAGAGGTGCCAGGGCTCCACGTGGCAGAGCAGAGGAGCAGGGGACTGCCCCCGTGTGCCACCACATCCCGGCTGAGCAAGGCACTGCTTCCACACTGGATCCCCAAACTGCTCCTTGCAGGCTTGGAGACCATTTCCTGGGATGATTTTTGATCACCCAGCAAGCAAGACAGGCTCCCTCCAGCCAAAACCGAGGAGAAAAGGTGCAGCTGGAGACCAATTTGCTGCAGTGCAACCGCCAGAAATAGCGGAGAAAAATGGAAATATCCTCCAAGAATCCCCAGCTTTTCAATAAATAAGGAAAGGTGCTGTCAAGATGTAAAATAGGCAGGTGTTATATAGGAAAGCAAATTGTGGTGGGGTGCAGTAGAGGCAGAGGAACAGTTACCCACAGCCTCTCTCTCTCATTGCTGTGTGGAAATCACGGTGCTGGCTGGAAAACACGAAAGCCACGACCATTTCCAGCAGCGTTAGAAACTCGACCAACACATCAACCATTTGTCAGAATGACAAGACCAGCGAGGAAAGAGAAGGGGAAAAATGTCCTTTTCAAGCACCTCCACGGGGGATTTGCAGAAATTGGGTGATAAAAATTAAGCAAGAGGCCGAAATCCTCCAACACAACTCCCTTCGTTTGTGATTTTACACCTCTGGCTTGTTGGGGATTTTCTGAGCCAACAGTTCTGCTCAAAGAGAGAAGTGCCCACTGCAGAGGGCAGATTTAGAGCCAACACCTCCCAGCTAAGGGAGGTTTTTTTAAGATCATTAATACCAAGAGAGCCACTGCAGAGCACCCAGCACTGTCAGAATATTAACTTTTAATTGCAGCTTGGCAATTCCTATAACCTGTGCCCTTCTCCTGCAAGGAGCTCACAGGGGACAGGGAAAGCTTGGCCATTGCTGGGGAAGGAGATGGATGGCCAGCCCCAGGGCAGCATGATTGATTTCCCTCGTTATCCAGAGCAGGAAAGTGGGATGGAATGGAAGGGTGGCAGCATCCCTGGGTGTGAGGTTGTCTTGTTCCAGCTCAACGTGAGCAGTAGATGACAGCAGGCAGGAGGAGGTGTCACATTTCTGACAAGGGTTATGTGCTGCACCACAGCTGGGCAGCCAGGTAGGACGAGCCTTTCCTTCCACAAAAAGTTATTTTTTATTGTTGTCCCTCCTCCAGTGAGCTCTTCCCTTTCCACATGTGGAATTAAGGCTCAAACAGCTGATGCTGCCCAGGTGTGATAGAGAAAAGGACTTCTTGATGATGAAGCCTCCAACCATCCTGACTAAATGCTTGCACAGCCTGACCCAAATGAAAAAGTTCCAAGAAAAGTTTCTTTCTAACTCACAAAGCTCAGTTTAGCTCTTGAGATCGATCCTTAGTTTTCACTTCCATATTGTCATCACTCCCAACTCAATGCCCATAATGTTGAAATCAAATCTTACAGCGAGACTGCAAAGAGAGTGAGAAATCACTAAAAACTTCACCATTTCCCATGGAAAATTCTCCTGCAATCTCAGTTTTAAAGGCAGGTTAACAATGGCCTGGGGCTCGGTGGTTTGAGGTTTTTGGAACTCGAGCAAAGGCACCAACCATGACACTGTGACACCCCCAGCGTGATGAATGCGTGAAGCAATCACTGCCACTGGCCATAACAGAAATGAAATGTGGGAAATGGTAACTCAGGCTGGGAAGGAGGAGGGGAGAGCACTGGAGGAGCACCAGAGGCACGGCAGTGGGGGAGCCCCTGGCTCAGTGGGCATTAATGGATGCAGAGAGGGAAAGACTGGCTGGATTCTTCACTGCTCCCTCCAAACCAGCTGCATCCCTCACTCCAAAGGCAAATCAACAAGATCTCATCTGAACACATCACTCCAACACCCCGAGCTGCTGCTGAGCCCTCTGCTGACATCCCGGGATCTGGGGGGGGGTTGGTTCTCAGGAAAAACTCCACGCTGGCAATTTTTTGTCCTGGCTCAGCCCCTTGCTCCGAGGTGGGAAGAGGGCATCTGCCTGTGTGCATAATTGGGCACGTAAATAGGTCAGCACCGGCTCGTGGGGCTGCTGCAGACACAGATGCATTTTTCTTGCATCCTTAGGCAAGCTGGAAAATGTCACTTCCCTGCTCAGCCATCACTAAACATTTTGCTGCCCTCAGTGCCCACCTGCTCCACGTCTGCAGTTCTGGGAATAAGCTGGAAGACTAAGAACAGGTTTCTCTTTTTTCATGCAATTGGTTTGATTCTGGTTTCTTTTTTTTTAAAGGCACGCTGAGTGATTTTGAGCCCGAAACTGGGGCCTGACTCGCTTCTTGTCCCTCTTCTCACCTGCAGCATCCTTCACCTCCCTTTTTATTTTAACTGTGGGAGGGAAACCCCTAAACCAGCAAGTTTTCACTGGAAGCTGAAGCCCAAGCAAAGCCCACAGAGCAGAGAAATCCCTGCAGAGGGGTGAGAAGCTGTTGCACACCCCAAGGGCAAAGTCCTGACCGAGGAGATGGAGGAGCTGCCTGTGCACATCTGCATGCAGGAGGAGTTGCACACATGCCAGAGGGGCTGCTTTCCCTTAGTGCTGCTCCTGCATCCTTGGGGAGGAACATCTGGAACAGGAGTTAAGTTCACAGGCAGGTGTTTGATGCTGAATCCTGTGCTAGGAGGATCTGGGGAGCAGGCTCACAGCAGTGTTTGAAGCAAGCACGGACGTGGCAAATCCCTCCTGAGCAGGGTGTGGAGGCCAGGGGAGAAAGATGAAACGGGTGAGTCCCAGAGAAGGAAAGGAGCAGGGACACTGAACAAAGCTGAAGCTCTCCAGGAAGGTAGAAGGCAGCTGAAGATGCTTCAAAAAGGACTGTGCTTTCTATCTCCTAGCAACAGATGCCAGCAAAAAGAAAGAAAAAAAAAAGGAAAAAAAGAAAAAACAAAACAAGGGAGATGGTCAGAAGATATTCTTGGCAGAGGAAATGGGGGTTTTGCCAAGTCTCACCCCACTGGACCCTCATCCCTCCCCTCTTATGGACACCACACCAGTGCCCTCGTCCCAGCCAGGCCTTTTTTGCCCCCAGTGGCCGGGGTAAGAGGTTTGGGTGCTTTCAGCCCCACTCACAGCACCTCCTGTTCTCTCTCCCCAGCTTCCCTTGGGACCACAGGGCCACAACAGCTGTGCAAGGGAAAACAAAGATCTTGGTAGCTTAAAGGGGGACCCCCAAAATTACACAGAGGATGATGCTTGGCTGAGAGCAAGCGCTCTGGGGTCTTCTGCTGCTCAGAATTTCAGGCTCCATCTGCTTCCCTGCAAGTGTATCCATCTGCAAACAGGGCAATATTTACAGACCCCAAAGCATCTGGCACCAGGATGCTTTAACCCATTAGGAAATGGCTGGAGGACACCCCACTCAGGGCTTTTAAAGACATTTGGAGGGGGGGAAAAAAACCTGTGTCTACAGGAAAATCCTGCCTGCCCATCCCTGTATCAATTACAGAAGAGGCATTAAAAGGTTTTAGTAATGATTTCTTGTCAATAACCTGGATCTTCAAGTCCCAGCATTCTTATTCAAACTCCCCTGGGAGCAAGACATCCCAGCAAAAAGGGACACACCACAGACACATCAGAGCAAAGGCAGAGGAAAGATAATAGAAAGGAGATATTGGGCAGAGAAAAAAAAAAGATCAGAGACAGCAATCTGTAGGAACAGAGACAGATCACGAGTTTAAAGGAAGGTGATTCTTCACTCTACGCCTATACAAATGATTTTCTTCCCTCTGCAGCTCCCTCCTCCCCTCTCCCCTGATGATTTGAAGGCTTTGGGAGCTGCAGTAAGTGTGACTGTTTTTCCGTGCGACTCAGCCAAAGATTTAAGTAGGCAGGAGGAAAGCACTCTCCTTTTCCATCAGCGTTCAATAGAGAGAGAGGGGGGGAAAAAAGAAACAAATAAAAAAGAGAAGAAAAATCAGGAAAGAGTCCAAGCTGCGAATCGTTAAAAGAAAACACAACTAGGAACATAAAAACCGAAGAGATGGAGTGGAAAAATCCATCCAGGCAATCCTTCCTCCCTCCAACACTTCTCATGTGTGTAAGGTCGTAACACAGAGATTAATCTGCAAAGCTGCTGAGCCAGAGCTGGGCAAACTGGCCTGGGAGGAGCCTTCTCCTCCAGATCTGCTGCTAATTCTCCAGAGAGACCTATGGGAGGATATTGGCCTTGGGTTTGCTCTTTATCACCCTTGGGTGATAAAGGGGGAGCAAGGGGCTGGTGCTGGTTATGACAAGGCTGCTCTGTGAATGTTGATTCACACCCTGAGTATCAGCCTGATCATCAGTTATCATGCTAATCCAGATCTCTGGGTCCAAAATCCTTTTCCTGACCCCATAAAATCCTCATATGAGGCTGGGGCTGTTTGAGGCAGGCACTATGGAGGTTTTGTGACACATCCCACTTGCTGGCCTGGTTTCCCGAGAAAAACAGGGAACACGTGGTCACAACATCCATCTCTCCTTTCCTTCACTAATCAGATCCAAACCTGTCAGTCCATTTTTGTTCCATCAAAAAAGAAAAAAAGGAAAGGAAAAAAATAAATTCACAGTGATACCCACTGGGCACCACAGGTGTCATCCTCCCCGGTGAAAGCAGGAAAGGGAAACATTTTACTGATTCAGAGGAATTCCTACCAGGAGAAATCACACAGGAACTCCACACAGAGCCCAAGCACCAGCAAAAAGCAGGTTTCTGAGTCTTGCAGGTCGTGGGATGGCTCATTTTCCTCACATCAGGGAAATTCAGTGGGGTGGAACAGAAGAAGCTGTTATTGATGCAATCAGGACTCACCCTCAGACACGTGATGCTGCAGGAACGCGTTTTTTCTGTCCTTCCCGTGCTCCAATGGCATCCCCAGCTCACAGAAACAGGAATATTGAAGGATGAGGGCTTGGCTGATTGTTTCCTCTTCTTTCCAAGACCTTCATCTTTCTTTGCCACCACACATTGCCTGGAGCCCATCCAGAACTTTCCAGGAGCACAGCGTCTTGAGTGTGCATGCCTTGCAGCTTTTCCATTCTTCTTGATGTTATAAAACTGTCTTGTAAAAGCAAAATTAAAGGCTTGAGTGCTGGCCACAAAGCCCTTCTCATGGTCATGTTTTCTGTTGTGTGCAACTCCAAGACAGAAGGAGGGGGGCAGAAGGGGGGGAGAGAGAGCTTTATGCATTAAACTTCTTTATAAATCTATTGAAGGTATTTCATCACTTCCCGACATTCCTCTATAAAACCCACTCAGCTACGTTTACAAATTATAAAATTAGCTTTATGTGCAGGGTCCAGGCTAATGGCACAGCTAAATCTAGGGAGCAGGAAGATTAGCTGCCTCTCCCTTGCCCGTGGTGGGATTTATTTTGCAGCATCCCTTCCTGGAGTAGAAGAATTTCCCTCCCAAGCCAAAGCTTTCAAAGGTCAAAAGAGGTTTGGCCACTAAGTGGAAAGTTTTGGAGAAGCCACATCTGTGGGGAGCACACAGAGCTGGATGGCTCAGGGCAACATTCGTGCTCCACAAAGACAAAAACATCTCTGGAAAAGGAGAGGATGCAGAACTGCAATCCCAGGCAAGATAGTTCAAGCATATGGGATGGGTGGAGAGAGGTGCAAAACTGAGAATGTTCAGGGAAATGGGGCAGTTTTCATTAATCTCAATGTTCCAAACAGGTGCAAGCCTGGCTGCTGGGTTATGTGTACTTGGTGCCCTGCCACACTGTTCAGGGAAACCTTGGGCTGTACCAACCTACTTCCCAGTGGTCTCCCAGTCCTTGGCTACAGCCCAGGGCTCTACCCAGCACAGGTCTCTGAAGAGTGCTAAAAAACCCATTACAGAGACAGGAGTGGCATCAGTGTGAGCTCAGTGCCAGGAAGGGAGGGGCGAGACACTTCAGCCTCTCCTGCCCAGCTCACATTCCCTCTCCAGCCCCTCTCCAGCCTCCCCAGTGTACAGAAAGAAGCTTGATGCTGCTTACCTGGTCCACAGGGTGCTGCCAGCTTCCCCTGGGCAGCCCAGACCTGCCGGGAGGGATCTTATGGCAGAGCGAAGTCACCTCCTGATGCTTTTGGCCACCTGCTAATCCTCACAGTGCCAGGGATCAACATTGCAGGGCAGGAGGGAACACATTTCACCAGTTCCCTCAAGCTGAAGGAGGAAACAAAAGCTAGTCAGCCTCAAGCACATGAAGCATCTTCAAGCTTTACTTCTTTGCTCCCTTTTAAAAAAAATAATTTCCCTCTGTAGGGTATTAATCACCACAAGTCAGCCTTAGGAAGAGTTATCCATGGAGCCAGGCAGGCACTGCAAGGACACTGTGTTAGAGCAAGATTATTTACTTCTATAACCTTTACAGAAAGAAGAGATAAGTACATTAGAACAACTTGCTCACACACAGCAGCAGCAGCAGCGATGCCTGATTCATTCCTGCACACTCCCATTTTAGAAGCTGCCCTGGATGCCAAAGGGAGAGCCTCAAAAAACAGCACTGAACCCTGCTGGGATGGCTTTGGAAGCGGGTTTGAGTGACACTCGAGGGCTCAGGACCAGAGGCCACCACAGGTCCACTGTGTGGTGGCACAAGGCTGGTGCAGCAGCACCCTCAAAGCCTCCCACTGCTCCTGTGGGCTTTTCCTCTCCAGCAGGCACTGGCCACCAGCAAGAAGCCTCCTAAGCTCCCTCAGACACAAGTTTTCCAATGGCTCACATCGTGGGGAGCCTGCAAGAAACTGAGAGCCCTCCCCTACCAACCTGACCTGCAGCTCCAGGGGATGGATGCTCATTCCCTGAGCCAACATCTCTGCACTGCTCTCTTCCTCTTCTCCTGCCCTCGGACAGAGAGCTGGAGTTCTGCAGGTGGCATTTATTTCCCTGGCCATGCCCAGAAGCCAAGCACCCAGGGGCAGCTATTGAATTTTGGGGAGGAGTTGCAATTTTCCAGCAAATTCACCTTCCCGCTCTGGCAGTCTGGGATTACATTAAAAAAAAAAAAAAAAAATCAAAGATGCAAGGGAAAAATAAAAGTTACCTCCAGTCTCTGCTAGGATGAGCCAAACCCCAAAGGTAAAATGTTCTAAATCCCTCATTTCCATTTGCCCCTGAACTTGTGTCTTGCACCTCTGGAGCCATCTCCCATTTCCACAGAGCTTTGTGGGTGACATCCTGATCTACAGACACGGAAAGAAGTCTTTGTTTACAAGATAAGAGCCACAAAATGCAAATAAAAAGCCCCAAATAGCTCAACATCAAACAGGGTCCATTATCTACCCTTTCAAAGGCATCCAGGCTGCAAAACACCACAAGCAATGGCTTTGTTTGGAACATTAAATATGATACTAAAAACATCTCCCGTGTGAAAACAACATGCATATGAGTTTGTTTATGCTAGAACTTTAATCTCTAAAATAACAGGTCTCCAGAGCTTGTTTTAGGCTGAAAAATTAATACCAAGTAATGATTCAAGGTGTACCGGGCTGGCACGGTCAGGCTTTGGCAGCGTGGGGTTACAGGAGTGGCTTCTGTGAAGCTTCCAGAAGTTTCTGCTGGGTCCAAGCAGGACAGAGGTTCTCCCCCAGCAGAGCTGGTGCAGCCCACGGTGAGGCAGAGGGTCCCCTGCTGCCCATGGAAGCCCACGGGGGAGCAGGGTCTGTGCTCTGGAGGAAGGGGATGCCTGAAGGAGGCTGGGATCCCAAGGGATGCCTGTGAGAGAGGAGCCCACTGCAGTCAAGAACGGCAGCCTGTGGGGAGGACTCACTTGGGAATATTTCGTGGAGGATGGTCCCCACCTGGAGCACGGGAAGGATGAGGAGGAAGAAGTGGTAGAGACAATAAATGTGGAATAAACTGACCACGACCCTATTCCTCATCCCCTGCACTGCCGGGCAGGAGTGGGGAGAAAATCCAGGAATGAAACTAAGCCTGACTAGAAGGGAGGGGTGGGGGGAAGGTGCTTTTTAGATTTGGGTTAATTTCTCATTATGCTATTCCAATTTGATTTGCAGTAAATTAAATACATCTCCCCAAGTTGAGACCTTTCTGCCCATGACAGTAATTCCTGAGTGATCCTTCCCTGTCCTGATCTCGAGCATTCCATTAAATTTTCTCTCTCCTGTCCAGCAGCTGAGAGGAGTGAAGGAGCAGCTTTGCTGGGCACATGGCTTCCAGCCAGGGTCATCCCACCACACGAGGTCTCAAGAGGCTGGGAATGATTCCCTAAAGCAGCAGGGAACTGTGGCAGAGAGTGCAGCCCTGATTTAATTAAAGCCTTAAACATACTCCAAGCCACACGATCCATCCACCCATCAATATGATGAAAAGACTGCAAGTTCCCTTAAACTCACCCAGCCACCTCATGAATCTCCTGGCTGGGAAAGCGAGGAAAAATGAACTCTCACTTCATTCTTCCATTTCCACACAAGCCACTTGGCTGCTCCTGGGACACGCTAAGGGGAGCTATTGCTGTGCAGTGAGCAGGGAGGGGGCTCCAAGCGGGAGCACAGCAAAATCCGGGTTGCTGGGACCCCATCCTGCAGCTCCTGTGTCCGTGGGACCCCATCCATGCAGACGATGTGTCACTGCCCCTCCAGATCCCTTCCTCCAGCAGCAGCCAGCTTTTCAGTGTCCCTTGGATGCCCAAAAGGATCCAAGATACCTCCAGGCTCTGCTACTCTACAGGAGTTATTTCAGGCACAGGAGGACAGCCTGGGGACTGCTCAGGTGTCTTTCTTTGTTTTTTTCCTTTAAAAAGATCACTTTCCTTCCTGCTTCTCCTGGATTACACCGGCGGTTTCTTCTCCATTTTCAGAGCGGTGAAAATCACAGGATGCACATCCCACATCCCTGAGGATGGACACAGCTCCAGCAGCTGTGCAGGGACCTGAGAGCAGAGGGATGGAGGCCTGAGACAGGGGGACTCTCCCACTGGACCTCACCCATGGCTCTGCAGGCACAGCCCAGGCTCAGGGGACCCTGACCCACCTGGAAGGGGAGAAGCCAAAGGGATTTAAGTCCACGCTCACATGCAAGGAACATTTTCCCACAGCAGACCAAATGAACAAAAACAAATATTTCCCAGAACTAAAGTGTCAAACGCTTGGCAATTCTCCCTCTGCTTTGTTTCTTTTGTTCGTGGGGGCTTCAACCAGTTAATAACCATGTGATCCATGGATTTTTTTTTTTTCCTTTTGGTCGGGGAGGTAGGATCCTCCTGAGCCAGCTCATGACAAATCTGCCTATTTCTTCCTAAACAAAATTTAAAGCAAGGGGAAAATTTGGGGCTGGGGAGGAAGATTCAGTGGGGAAGCACCAAAGAGGATCTTTTTAAAGTTAACATTAGTTTCATTTTGGCTCCAAACATCGCTTCAAAAAATAGAAGTAAAAGCATCTAATTTCAAAAATGCACAAAAAAGTGGTTTGATTTTTTCCAAATTGCTACTTTCCGTTGTCATCTTTTTGTTGAGTTCAACATAAATCATTTCAGCTGACCTGAAATGCTATTTTTCAACAAATGAATGCCTTAAAAGAAAAAGAAAAGAGAAAGAAAAAAAGGAAGAAATTCTTCAGCCTATGTGTGTGAGCTACACCACTAATTTTTAGTTGTTGGCTTTCTGCTAAGAGATAATCGCACTGAAAAAATGGCTGAATAAATTGTTCTTCTCACAGGTGCATCAAAAGGGCTGACAGAAAGAACAGAAAAATTAGATGGTGTACCCAAAAAAAAAAAAAAAAAGGAAAATATCAAGTGTGGCTAGATGGGAACCACTGGAAGCATTTATAGAAACTGAGCAGCGTTGGTCCCCTGGGTAACCCAGCTCCAAGGCCTGGGGGATGGCTGCTCCATCCCCTCATTAAATAATTCTGACTCATGAACACATCAGAAAACTTGCATTGTGCCCTCTGACAGTTTACCTCCAGAAAGGCAAAGTTTGTCCAAGAAAATCCTTTTGTGCAAATCATTCAGGCAGCATTAGTCATGTTTGTCCCTTCCTCGCCCAGACAGCTCCGGGAATTTGTGTTATTTTCATTGCCTTCCCCTGCACCCTCATCCATCCTGACCAAGTGAACTTGCAACTTTATCTCATCTTCCTGCAGCGCTGGATCAAGACAGAGCTGCTGCTTCTGGCCAAGAGGAATGGCCTTAAATGCAATTTTCATCCTTTATTTTATTTTATAGACAACCTAAATGTCCCTGATACCCCAGTCCAGGCTGGCTTTTGGCCTTCAGATGGTCTGACCAATAAGGAATAACAGGCATAAGGACATGACTGGAAGGTGAAACATTACTGATATTATATGTGTATATATTTATATTGCATGTATATATATTTATTGTATGTATCTATATTTATATATATACACACCTTCATTGCTTCTATTCATATAGCTCTGATTATTTCTCTTTCCCTCCTGATTTTTTTTTTTTTTTAGCCAGGCAAACTACAGACACCTCTCATGCCCATATGCAGAAAGATACTGAAAGGGCTCCTAAGGGTAATCCTAAAGTCTCTCCACCTTGCACATTTCTGGGCCCATGAGCACACGAGTTCAAGGGTCACATGCTAGGGTGAAAAACCAGTTTTTCTGGAATTTTTCCAGGCAAGAGAGAAATGCCCTGAACATCTGATATTTCCCTGTCTCCCTTCAAATCCCAGCATATTTCTGGCAGATCTGTACATTTGTATTTTAGCAGGGAAAAGCTCTTTCTGAGCCATCTCCTCCTTATAGTTTCTCCTGACATAAATATGAATTGAGGTTATGGCCTAGTACAATCTTCCCAGGAAAAAGTGGAGATTACATCAATGTGACCCATTAAAGCAATCTTAAATACCCACTGATGGTTCATTATTGCAAGCTACTTTCCTTCCTGATGTAGAATTTATTCAATATATTGGAGGGGGGGAAAAGGTCTCCAGGAAGGCATTGCCTGTGCACTGCATTAATAAAAAGGGACAGCTCAAGGGATGGGCTTGACAAGTTGGAAGAGGAGATTCCATTTGCACAACCCCACTGGATGAATCAAAATCCTCCTCCTGCAGGGCATGGAGGCCAACAGGAAAACTTTAATTATGTTGTAGCCAGGTGAGGGTCAGGCTCCTCTCCCAGGAAAAAAAGGGATAGGGTAGAGGAAATGGCTTCAAGGTGCACCAGGGGATGTTTAGGTTGGATGTCAGGAAAAAAATTCTTCACTGAAAGGGTGGTGAGACACTGGAACAGGCTGCTCAGGGAAGTGTTGGAATCACCATCGTTGGAAGTGTATAAAAAATGTGTAGCTGTGGCACTTGGGGACACAGTTTAGTAGTGGCCTTGATGATCTCTCAGAAGTCTTGTCCAAACCTAAGGGTTCTGTGATTGTGACAAAGAGCACACTGAGCTGGCAGCTGGGCTTAGGTGCAGAAAAGGGGGTGAGGGGTTCCCCAAATTATCACCACTTGCCCCCTTCCCATCCCCTGTGCTGAAAGTGGTGATGGGGGGCAGCTGTGAAGCTCTTTCACCCAGGGACTTCACAAAATCCCCTCTTCTTCTGTTTTACTCTTTGCCACTGCAACCTGGATCTGAATTTAGAAACATTTTGCAGTGAGTCAAGCCTAGAGGTCTGGTTGTTTTCTTTGCAATTCAAATTTTAAAAAATATTTTTGAAGAAGGAGGAGTTTGAGCTGTGGGAGAAAAAAACCTCTCCACAGAATTATAGGATCACAAAACCATTTAAGTTGGAAAAGACCTCCAAGATCATCTCCTCCAACCTTTGATCGATCACCACCTTACAGCCAGACCAGAGCACTGAGTGCCACATCCAGCTGGATCTTGAACAATTCCAGGGGTGGCCACTCCACCACCTCCCTGGGCAGCCTTTTCCAATGCCTGACAACCTTTGCTGTGAAGAAATTCTTCCTGATGTCCAACCTGAACCTGCCCTGGTGCAACCTGAGGCTGGTTCCTCTTATCCTGTCCAGAGAAAACATGCATTTTTTGGTTTTTCCCCCAACCTGCCCCAAAGGGCCAGGAGGCTCCTGGGGGTAATCTCTCTCTTGAATCCTGGAAAGAGCTCAGGCAGTCTGTGGGCTGAAGCTGCCTGAAGGAGAGATGTGGCACATCTTTCATTCATAAAACATAAAATATTAACACCAGAGGATAATACAGAAGTCTCTTTAAAGAGATGGATTCGGGTCCTTTGCCTCAGGGAACAGGTCAGGGAAAAGGTTCTCAGCATCAGGCAGAGGTTTTGTGCCAGGGAGTGAGGATTGCCTGTTTTTCTCCTGCTTGCAGTGCCTGTCCCCAGGCTCCCAGAGCACCCGGGGATGGAGGTGCCTTGGGATCTCTTCTCCTCCTGCTGGCCCAAAGCAGGTGATCCTCACATCCCTGAAAAAGCCACTCCCTGCTGTCACACTGCTGATCCCCACCATCACCCACCGTGAAACTGGGGACATCTGCCCAGGGGAAAGAGTATAGGGAATAAACACCAAAGTGAAGCCTACCTTTTTATCCCCAAAAAAGTTTCTGCTTGCATCCGCTTCTTTATTTGCTCCAACTCTCCTCCAAATTTCTGTCTTCTTTGTGCACCTAATTAATGAGTCAATTCATTAATACTTTTTGCAGCAGAATTCTCTTCCCATCTATAAAGCGGCCGTGCCAAATTTTTGCCTTAATTATAAACAATACCTTTTGTTTAAAGCTTTCTGCAGAGAAAACAGCGAAGACTTCTGTCTCTTCACAAGACAATTATTCAGAATGTTATCAGCAAATCTTCATCTCCGAGGAGGATTTCTCCCAACACAGTCCACCCACCTATAGATGCACTCGGGACTACAATCAATACATGTTAATTAAGCCGTAGCCCACTCCAATTAAAATTATAGGATCTGAAGGACAGACATTTGTTTTTGTCAGTAAATTAATTTAAGCATTCATTAACTTTAATTTTTAAATTATATATCACTTTAATGATAAATAATTCCTCTCATTACAGAGGAAACATATGGGAGGGAAAGATAAGATGGGAGAGACTTGGACCCAGGGAGGAACATGTTCTCCGGCGCTTCCTTCTCCTTCGGCACATCAGCAACCCCATTTATGTCAGCAAACTGGGCTCTTTTGAAAATTTGGCTGGCAAGTGCAGTGCTGAAATAAGAACAGAGATTCTTTGAGTATCTCACCTCCTTCTCTGCTGGGAACATGAAAGCTCGGCTGTGAAATCTCAGGGTTTTAGAATAGCTGAAACTTTGTACAGGCTACCAAAATAAACACTTTCCAACGGAAGTCAAAACATTACTGCGTTAACAAGGGTTTTAATTTATGTAGAAAAGGGCAGGTTGTTTTACAGCTTAACCCTTCCTGCACATATCCCAGGCAGAGAGGGCTGATTTATAACGTGATGTCTGTGCAGTGTCCTGCACTCTGAGCTAAACCTGCCCTGACTTGCTGTGGCAGATAATTAAATATGGAGCGGGCCAGCGATATTTGGGGCCTTCTTTTCCCAGCAGATGCTGCGTGGCACACGGTCTGGGCTGCTCCACAGAAGGGTTTGAACCCTCAGCACCTCCCTAGGTGAGGGATTTGGAGCTCACCTAGCAGTGCCCAGCACACCCTCACCGTGGATTTTCCCCTGCTCTGCCACATTGCAAAACCAAGCCAACGTCCCAAAGTCTTTCCATGCTGTACAAAGCAGAACTCAGGAGTGTCTGACATTCCCAAGTGCTCTGAGATCACAAGCTCTTCATCCCACCAAGCACATCCTCACAGCACTTCCCTGAGCCCGGGTGCTGTATAAATAGCAGCACTGCATTCCCAGCCTCCTCCACACAGACCCCGCCTGAGACCTGTCAAATGACAGACATCAAAATAGATCAACTGAATAAATTATTCACCCCAGAGCACCTCAAGCGTTGTGCTGGACTGGTAAGGACTGATCAGCTTCACAGCTGATGGTGGCAAGCAAACAGCAAAACAAAATTATCCAGCAGATAGAGTGACCAAAAAAAAGGAGCGAGAAAAGCCTGGAGTCTCAACCTCTTGGGAGCTTTAAACCTGCAGTGCAATTAAGACTCTTCTGACCATACTTCTTCCTTTGAAACAACTGATTATTCCTCTTCCCAGCCTGATTTTGCAGTTACCATCACAAGTTATTCCTGCTGGGTTCTCAGAACACCACATCTGCTACAAACTCCTGGGGGGACAAGGAGACAGTCCCTTCTCTGAGCCCCACTGCACCAGCACTGCTCATCCTGCCTTTAATCCAAGAGCCAAAATAGGAGAGAGTCAGTGGCCCAGCCAGGACTTCCAGAGATAACCCAGGACTCCAAACAGCCAGACAAGTAAGAAGTACCCACATTAAGCAGAACGGAGCATCCCAGCCTTCTCAGAGCCAAAATTCACTTTTTCCATCTCCTCTGCCTCCTGACATCTCCTGTCTCTCACTGTGTCACGCCCTCCACCCCGCAATGCCAAAATTAACTGTATTTTCCCTTCTCAAGACCCACACCCTTCCCTCCCCCGTGGAGAACCATCCCTAGCAGGGTGGCTTTGCTGAGGGCAAAGGGATTCCTCCTGCTGCCTCAATTTCAGTATAAAAGCGAGCAGGGGATAACCCAGTGCTTTGAGCAGGCTGAGAGCGGGACCTGCGCTTGGAAAACTCCTTTAGGAGGAACACACAGGACCTATGCAATGCAGAAGGTTCCATCAAAAGGGAAATGGGGCAGTGAAAGAGAAACTATGCAAAATATGACTTTATTCGTAATCTGTTTACTTAACTACTGCAGAGATTTAAAAAAAAAAAAAAAAAAAAAAAGCTTTCTCCCCATTTATCCATTAGCTCCTCTTCCATCCAGCTGCGCTGCTGAATTCTCATATTTATGACATCAGTGCATGTTGCTATAGAGATAATTAATTAATGCAACATAATCAAGTCAGCAATTTTACTACTTTACAGCTTAACGCAGCACTGGAAATAGAGTGGGGAGAACACCAAAGCTTAGTTCAGAAAAGCAGGGGTTTTAATGGTCCTTTAAGCACTGAGAGTTGGGTCTGAAAGTCATTTCCACAGCACATGAAATGTGCCACATTTGGCATAATCACTGTCATTAGAAGCACAGAGAAAAATTAGAAAAACCGCAATAAAGAGGAATGAAAGTTCTGACCAAAAAATTACAGGTGGAGAGCAGAGTTCTCCGAGCACCCAGCAAAGCTCTTCATCTCCACCTTGCAAAAACGCCCTGGCTCAAGAGGCATCTGCTCAAAGAGGCTGTGATGTCCTAGCACCTAATCCCAAACACACCAGGCTTTTTTTTCCAAGAGCCACGCCAAAGCTCATCATTCCTGGGGTGCTGCCTTCTCGGGAAGAGCAGCTCCTTGTGGGATCTCCCGAGCCAGCTGGCGATGACAAGGGGGTAGAGACCCCTTTGCATCACACAAGATCGATGTCGTGCTCGGCCAGGAGCTGGTGGCTTTCCCAGCTGTCCCCCAGAGGCAGCTTTTCCTGCCTGTCAGGAGCAGGCAGGAGGTGAGACCAGGCACTTTCACCCCTCTCGTCCATAGCTGCCTCCTGACAGTCAGGTTGACATGCACGGCTGACAAGGACAGCAGTGACTTGTCAGCGTGTCCGAACACACAGCTCCCATCAGAGAGCAACAACTCCACACCAGCAGCGTGCCTTCCTACCAAGAACTGGGCCAAAAAAAAAAAAAAAAAAAGGATGCTGTGGAATATCCAAGCGGGTGCCACACTTGCTGCTTGTAACGCCACCCTTTTGTTAATTTAGGAGATTAAAATCAGTCTCCTTTTCCAAGGGAAGCCTTATTTTTTTTTTTTTTGTTCTGTACTAATTAGAATCTTTTTATATACTTTTCAGTCCAGGGTCTCTGCCTTCTGAGGTTAGAAAGACGAAAGCAGCACAAATGAAATTAGGTCACTTAACCCTCAGGACAATCCCATTCCTCAGCAGAAGTTGCTCCACACAGAGTGGAGCCAAGGGGAAAAAACTTTAAGAGAGACACATGCAGAATAATTGAGCCAAAGGCTGTGTTTTGGGGACAAGAATGACATCATAAAGCCACGTTTGCCTTCCATAACCAGGAAGTTTTTCAGGCTGTGGTATTTCCACAGCAAGTTTCACTGCCAAGCTGTAGCTGCAGCCACCTACACTTCTCAGAGAACTGCCCAGTGAAGAAACAACCAAGAAAATTATTATTAAAAAAATTTAAAATAGAATTTAGTAGGAAAATCAGCAAATCAGAATACTGCTGCCCAGTTTATAAGATGGCTCCACGATACACAAAGTAGAGAGATTTTTCACAAAGGCATGGAGTGATAGAACAAGGGGAAAATGGCCTTAAGCTGAAGGAGGGAAGGTTTAGATAGGATATTGGGAAAAAAATTCTTCCCTCTGAAGGTGGGGAGGACCTGACACAGGTTGCCCAGAGAAGCTGTGGCCGCCCCTGGATCCCTGGAAGTGTCCAAGGCCAGGCTGGACTGGGCTTGGAGCAGCCTGGGACAGTGGAAGGTGTCCCTGCCCATGGCAGCAGGGACTGGCTGAACACTGATGTCCTTTCCAACCCAAACCACTCCATGTTCCCACACACTATTTCAATTAAAGCATAGAAATTGCCGTTTTTATGTTGCATTCATGTACAACACAGTTGAGGAAAATGAGGACAAAAAACCACCCAAGTATTAAACGCATTACGATTTGTTTGGAGATTTCAGCATCAGCTCCCGATTCTCTCCAGGCTCAGCTCCTTTCAATAGGATAAATTGCACGGAGTCACTAAAATCCAGAGCTTATTGCACACCATCTGCAGGCAGAGAGAGTCCTCTATTCCCAAGCCAGAGCTGTTTTCCTGGCAGGATGCTGCTGTGACCTGTTGCAAGACTTCTCTCTGTGCTTGCCTGCAGCAGAGTCCCAGAGGAGACAGCTCCACCTTTTGGGGTCAGTTCAGCTGAGGCAGGAGAGTGGCAGAAACCTGTAGGACAATTTTCCTGCCACGCTTTGGACAGCAATATCCAAGCCACCGGAATATTTGCCTGATCTGCACAAAACCCAGAGGAAAAACCCACTCTTGCAGCCACCAGCTGCTGCTGCAAAGGTTTATAACTGGAATAAAGAGAGAACACATCCTCCCTAAAGCCAGACGACAGCCCAACCCAGACAGAGGCAAGAAATCATCTCTGGTGAGAGCAACAATGAGCAATTTAGCTTGATTATATCCTTGCAGATCTCCCTATTTATAACGGTTTGCATTATTTTGAATGCAAACTGGTGAGTATCTTTTTTCCCCCGTGCATCAGCTCTCGTGACCAAAACTTGTCATTAGCTCCTGATTAAAAGAGATTTTAAATAAGGGGTGGAAACAGGCCCAAAAAAGTGCTGCTGCATCCCCGTGCTCTCGTATCAGAGTGACTGCTGCAAATGTCAGCTTTATTTACTGTTTGCAGCCCACTAAGCTTTTTTGTCTTGCAGGAGAGGCAAAATTGGGAATACTGGATCAGGTGGGAGAAAGGAACAACAGAGGAGAGATTAAAAAAATAAACAACCACGGGGCCCACGTGCCCGGGAGGCTCCTGGTAGGTCATACTTGCAACACACATGCAAAGTTTGTCCACAGATGCAGCAAACAAATTAAATAAGCTTCACGAGTGAGAGCCTGACCTTTTCCATCTTCCCCCCCAGCAGAAATCGGGCTCCGACGGGGACCAAAAAAAAAAAAAGAGTTAGAAATAGCAAAGATAATAAAGCCAGGCACCAGAAGCACAGGAGGCTGAAGGGAAAAGACAGGCAGGTGAAAGGACAACCCAGGAAAACATGAAATACTGCAAGTCATCCTCTACGGCCAAAATACCACGAGATAACCTATCCTGCAGTGGAGGACGAGGCCAGGTGAGCCCAGGAGCTCCATTCCCGTGCCGGGAGGAGGAGCTGGCTCTGCCTCAGACACGGACCTGCTCCTTTTGGCACACGTTTGCAGGGCGATTTTCAGCGGAACAGAACTCCCCTCCAGCAAGGTGCAGGCAGACACCAAACAAGATTAGTCTGAATTTTCCAGGCTCAATGGCATCCAGAGCACAGGAAACATCTCTGATTATTCCAAGTGATGGGTTCCTAACCCCGGTGGTGGCCGAGCCTCAGCCTTGAGGGGGTGTCTGTACTCGGAGCCACTGATTCCTCCATGCATGGAGAGCCCAGCGCTGAGCTGGGTGACCCCATCAGCACAGGGCACTGCCTGGGTCACGTTTTGGTGGTTTATATTCATCTTAAATGCTGTGTCCAGTTCTGAGACACTCACAAGAAAGATGTTGAGGGGCCGGAGCGTGTCCAGGGAAGGGAAGGGAGCTGGGGAAGGGGCTGGAGCCCCAGGAGAGGCTGAGGGAGCTGGGAAAGGGGCTCAGCCTGGAGAAAAGGAGGCTCAGGGGGAACCTTCTGGCTCTGCACAACTCCCTGACAGGAGGGGACAGCCAGGGGGGGTCGGGCTCTGCTGCCAGGGAACAGGGACAGGAGGAGAGGAAACAGCCTGAAGCTGCACCAGAGAAGGCTCAGGTTGGACAGCAGGAGGAATTTCCCCATGGAAAGGGTGTGAAGCTTTGGAATGGGCTGCCCAGGGAGGTGGTGGAGTCCCCAGCC